TGTGAGACATTTGCAGTTCTGCCATAAAACAAATGGCAGAAAAAATGTTTGGTTCTTATATTTTACCACACACTCTTTCACCACTAAAAATTAAGCATCGTGCTTTGCTTCTGTGAACAATAAAGTGTGTTAGTGTTCCAGGAACACTATTGATTTTCCTTGAAATAGTTTTAATTAGTTCCCGTGACCAAATCAAAACCCAAAAGACCATATAGTAGACATGTACAGCTTAGTATGTATTTCAGTTTGGTATTCATTTACCAAAATGTATGAGTCAGTTAGTATAAATAACGCAGTTTAGAGCCTCCCGCTACAGTAAATGAGAGGAATTCACTGTTGTAAACACTTCCTTGCCGTAATTACAGTGGATAGCTGTACACGTACATTTGTTGCTGCTGTAAAGCGATTCACCCATTTTAGGAAATCGTGTTTCCAAAATTAGAAATAATGAAGGCTCAAATAAAGTCTTAGAAAGTTGCTTAACCCTTTATTATTAAAAGAGACTGTGAAAAATCTGTCTGCGGCCCAGCGTGTTAAATGTCAGTCCAATGCACCTCTGAGGTGATGATGAAATTTTTCTGTTTACATGCTGAGAAACCCAATCTCAGTGTTGCTCTCTTGCTGTAAACATCATTATGAAATGCCATGCAACACCAGGCAGGCTTTCATAGCTTTCTCTTACCATCCTTAAAGGAAGTTCTGGAAAGTTTAGAAAGCTATTTGAGTCTCTGAGATTTAGAGAGTTCGTTTTGTATGATCAGCCAGGCTTCTTAAGGGTCTAAGCTTCTCCTCATAATTCTTTTATCAGGGCAGGTATTGGGATTCTGCGGGGAGCCGTCTCCTATCAGGAAACCTGTAATCCATTTACTCCGGATAGGAGTTTGAGTGTGACCTGTAGCCTGCATGGGAAAGCTCTATATATCCGGTGCACCATCAGAAACACTACAGTGAGGCAGCAAACAACGTAAAAATAGCCGTCACCATTGCTATCCTACGTACATTTTCTCAGTGGAGGAGGCTGTCAAACGCTTGGAGATAATGAGCATCGTGGTGTACAGTAAGCCGGTGTGGGTGGGGAGGGTTATGTTTCTGACACCACAATGCAATTGTATATGAACATCTTTTGTTTGTTAAAGGAACTGTTCTTCAAAAACGGACCTATAATTAACTAAACAAACAAACAGAGCTGGGGAGAAGCTGATTTCATAGAATCTCAGTTCTGGTAACTGTTGATTCTGGAAGTCTTGACAGCAAAAATCAAACCCTGAATGATTCTGGGTGTGTAATGTCATTGTTGTTTTCATGTTTATTAATGTCTGTTCATGTAATGCAGAGATTCCCAAATATTTTATCAACCAAACCCCTTTGACGTGAAATATTCACTTGAAATATCTCTGAAGTTAATATTCCAAAAATGTAACAACACATTTGCATGT